CCACCGGAAGGAGGGCCTCCCGTCAGCGACCCTCCGACCCCGGCCGGACTCTTTTCTTCTCCTTCCACCCTTAGTCCTCCCCTGCGGACCCTCCCCCGTGGTCTTCCCCTGCTCCACCGGAAGGAGGGCCTCCCGTCAGCGACCCTCCGACCCCGGCCGGACTCTTTTCTTCTCTTTCCACCCTTAGTCCTCCCCTGAGGACCCTCCCCCGTGGTCTTCCCCTGAGGACCCTCCCCCGTGACCCTCTCCCATGGATTCTCTTTTGTACCCTCTCTTAGGCCACCACCATTAGCTTCTCTCCTGCTCCTCTTAGAACCTCTACGTTTCTTGCCACCGCCTTTATTTCTCATCTTCAACAATCCTACCCTTAGCTTTTTGCTCCCTTTGATGTAGTCCTTCCCGTCATGGACACAGTGGGCAGCTGTGAGAACGTGTTTAGGGGAAATGAGAATGCCGCTGCAGCCCGTGGAGAGCTTCACGGCTGTACTGAAAGGGAAGTTGGTTAGGAACCTTTTGTCCAAGATGCTGAATCTGCTGTCCGTACCATACACCTGTCTCTTTCTCCTAACTGGTGCTCCTTTTGTAGTGGTATTTTGAGCCGGCTCAAGGACCAAGTCTTGAACTTTCACCCTGGTTAAGGTTCGGGTGCCGTTCTCAAAGACAGTCTCATAGGAAAGAGAATCCTCCAGTTCCGGGAGGCTGGGAGCCGGGAGTTCTTTCTGGCACTCAATGCCACATACTCTGTTTACTAACATCTTAGCGTCTGCCTCAAATGTGGGGCTGGTGAGATGGAAAGTCCTTTCACTGACAATCCGGGGTATTTTTCTCAAGTGCCACATAAAATCCTGTTCCACCGTAGATCCAACAATGAAGGTCCACCCAGGGGTGAAAAATATCAACCAAAATAGCATATTTTCCATTTTGTTCTTCTATTTTTGTCCTTAAAAATAGAAAAAGAAAGAGAATCTTTACAATGCTTTCTTTTCAGATGTTACTTATCCATTTCCTTTAGGCTTTGGGTCCTAAATGTATTTCCACCACACAAGAGCCCTTATTTTCACCTTATTTAGATTTTACTGAGATGAAACACTTATCTGCTAAATGGGCTCATACAGACTTCCAAAATCAATAAATCATGTTTCACTCAACCTTCCCTCCACCAGCCCTAACCCACCTCTCCCCCTACCCGCACCTGCCATCTCCATCCACCTCTACCTCCCCAGACAGCCCAGTGCATGGAAGAGTAGGGGTGGGGCAGTGAATGGGATCCTTTGTTGTCTAAACCACACTCTCTTCCTCCCTAGGTCTCCTACAACTTATTCAGAAGATTTAGAAATAAAGACAGGAGATGTCCTGCAGTCTTACCCCACACTTACCACCTTAAAAGAAGGAATCATAAATTTCTCATTTCAAGAGTGTAAATGCCTAGCACAGAGCTCAAAAAATGTTCACTGGAATACAATGAATTTCCCTAAATCTGGATTTGCAGCCCAAGTTGATGATGAGGTGCAATGCAAATCACTGGATAATGCTGTAAAAGTAGTAGAAGTTTTAGAAAGAAATAAATGGGTTAATCTGCTATTGACCTGCTTTGATTTTTACATAACCCCTAGTCATAAAAAGAAAATATACAGCACAGGCCACTTTATGCTAAAGTAAGAAAAATGTACCATGCATTTTTTTAAAAAAAACAAAGCTGTGCTTAGAACCACTGTCTAAGCAAAGCAACATACAAAATATTTTATAGTGGGATTTTACTGTGTATTAAAATTAGTTGTAAGAATTTGTGAAGCACAGGCTATGGCTCTAGATTTGTCCCCTGGGGGAACATGATCATAATTAGATACAGTCCCTCTTCATCATGGGTCTCATCATCTAAGAGCAGTGCTTTTGTGTTATTTAAATATTTTTAAAGATGCCAGTACTTGATAAATTATATAATATCTTTTCTACTGTTAACATCTTCTTGCTCTTTTCTTCTTCTTGAGGCTCAGTAGCATGTAAATGTATCTATTTAGTAGAACTGATGTGTATTAGCCCTGCTTGAAAGTGGGGTGAGGTAGCTCTCTTTGGAGCAGCAATTTGAACCTCTGTCACCATTATTTGTGAGCTAAGCTCCAAATCATTTTTAATTAACAGTTAAAATACCAAGGCTTAGCAAATGATTTGTACTTGGTATGAAGCAGAGGCAATTCAAGGTTAGATTACTCCTACAATATCTTCACTCTATGCTTTCTGATAAGCTTTGTTTTGCATGGAAACAAAAGCTAATGAGGAAGTTAGCAATGGCCCACAGCCAGGTCCACACACAGGACGTGTGCACTGGCATAAAAGGCAAAAGTCGTCTCTGATGCAGAGTTGAATATAGGCATCCCTTGATACAACAGTTTATTTTGCCATATACAATACAGAATTATATTACCAAACTAATAACATTCTTTTGGTTAAAAAATACTACATTAACCTATTTATTGTTTAAATGTGATATATTCACCAAAACATGACATAATTAATTTAAGCCACTATACATTTGAAAATATTAAGCAAATGTGGAATAATTTTTATTATGACTTGACATCAGCAAAAATTATATAGAAGTTTTGCAGTTTCCATTTTTTTATCTGCTCATACTTGTCCGCTGAATAATGGTGATTCTGGTTAATATGAGACTTACTGTTTGCTAAACAGCTTATAACTCATTTTAGAGACGGCATTCTGTAGATGATGATGGATATTGTCAAAAAATTAATAAAGAACATACTTTAGAAAAAATCTGGGGCTGGCCCGGTGGCGCACTGCTACAGTGCACCGCTTGGGAGCGCGGTGGCGCTCCCGCCGAGGGTTCGGATCCCACATGCAGACCAGTTCCCGCTCACTGGCTGAGCGAGGTGTGGGAGCAACACCGAGGGTTGCGATCCTGTTGCCGGTCCCGATCCGGTACGGGCGCGACACTGAGGGTTGCGATCCGTTGCCGGACACGAAAAAAAAAAAAAATCTGCACTCATGTCACAATTATTTTCTAATTGTCATCATGGCAAATTTGACTTTGCACAAAGCAGTAATTATATCAGTAATGATTTTGTTGAGCCATTTAGTATTTTCTTTTGCCTCCTATACAGTTTTCAACAATCAGTAGTTTTTCATGAATTTTATTTAACTAGATTGGAGTGAAAAAGGATAACAACTCAATAACTCTACTTAGTCCTTGAAATTGTAGTTCCCTAGATAAAAAATTATGTCCTTGCAAAAAAAAAAAAAAAAAGCTAAAATCAGATAGTTATTTGCTGCCACTTAGCTTATCAACAAACCAAAATAGATAAGATATATATATATATGTATATCATAATATATATATAGAATCTACTTGAATTTTAGCAAAATTTCAATCAAGGGAGTTCTTTGGTGTGGGAAACTTTTTTTTTTTTTGGCAGCTGGCCAGTACAGGGATCCAAAACTAAATTGGTTTTCACATTCATACCTTGTTGCCAACTCAGAATATAGTTAAATTGACTGAAATAAAGCTGCTCATGGTTGAACTTTCAACTGATGTTGTGAAAAAATAAAAATAATAAATTGATTTTTCATTTACCCCTTTATGACAACAACTATTCAGTATGTACTTAATACATGATTACATCAAAGACTGAAAGCCAAACCTCTACCTTAAGAGACACATAGGGTTTCACTTTGCATATTTTAAAACTCGATACTAACGATCTGTGGAGAATAAATACGTGAAAGTCTTCCTGGGCAAAACAGAGGATGTCTAAATAATGGTACTAAGATATTGTTTCCCTAGTTAGGTTTTATTTTTTTTTAGTACTATTTAATTTAGTCTTGCAACTTTTTAGCTAGTTAAGGATTTGAAAGGCAGGATGTAAATATTAAATGATAACTGACAAAATTATCTTTTATTATAAAAATCATTGGACTAGGATATGGATCTCAAATATGGAATTTCCCTTAGTCTTTACCAAATAAAATATACCCTGTGCCAAAATTCTGTAGCCAGACTTTTAAGAAAGCCCCATCAGAGCTGAATTGTATTACAGTATAATTTCATTGTTGGCTAAGTATGTCACACTGACTTTTAAATCTATTATCCTAGTCAAAGACCATCAGTCCCTTTTAAACCATGCTTGGTACAAAGCAGTGACTGCATAGGTGTGGTTTTCCAACCAAGGGTATGCTCAGGTGATCATTCTCACAGCAGTTAAGAATGGAGGTTGAGAACCCAAATCTTGGTTGTTCACCAAAAAGAAACACTAGACCAGATTATAGTCCCTGAACCAGTAACATCAGCACCACCTGGGAGCTTGTTAAAAATGCTAATTCTCAGAATCCACCCCAGACTGTTAGAAACTCTCCTGGAAGGGGGTGGGAGGCAGGTGGTTTCTGTGTCTTAACCAGCTCTCCAGATGATTCTGACACTCAGTAAAGTTTGAGAACCACTGCAGCAGACAAGGCCCTGCTGTAGCAGCATGAGCCACAGCCCAGAGAGCAGTCTTTCCAGGGATGATCGCTTAACCAGGTTTCAAACGACATCTGCTTCATCTTTGTGTCCAAAATCAATTTTTTTTTTTTTTCAAAAGATGACCAGTAAGGGGATCTTAACCCTTGACTTGGTGTTGTCAGCACCATGCTCTCCCAAGTGAGCTAACCAGCCATCCCTATATGGGATCCGAACCCATGGCCTTGGTGTTATCGGCACCACACTCTCCCGAGTGATCCACAGGCCAGCCCCAAATCAATTTTTATTCTGACTTTGCTCTTCTACTATGTTAGCAACTGCTCAGCCATTTAATTTAAAAAAAAACTTATTTTTATATGTGGTTTAATGTCTGAAAAAAATCAAATTCAGTAGGTATGTATGTAAGGCCTCCAACATCTGTTGCTACAGACCATGCAGTGGCACTGGATTGCCAGCCCTGGCTGGTGCCCTTTGAGGGAGCTTTGGTACAGTGCCACAGGAATAGAAGCCATGCCCACATCTATCCGTAGGCATGGAAGGGCAGGGATTTGTAACGACCTCAGAGTCACAGTAATAAGAGGACATGGATTTAGTTAGCCTGTCTAATTTGGCCTGTAATTTAAAATTGGACAAATGTTTAAGGACACTTTCTTTTGGAAAATCTAAGTTTGTCTTGTGGTAAAATGTCAATGTGATGTTAATTATAGCTCTTAGTGATAGAGCAATCCAGAGTTAGGTGGATACATCTACATATGCCCATCATCACAAAAGCATTAACCCACTGATCTGAAGAGACAAAATCCCAATGGGCGGGGCAGCTATAATATTTTGAAAGCTATAGGGCCGAGCCCGTGGCGCACTCGGGAGAGTGCGGCGCTGGGAGCGCAGCAGCGCTCCCGCTGCAGGTTCGGATCCTATATAGGGATGACAGGTGCGCTCACAGCGCTCACTGGCTGAGCGCGGTGCGGCGGTCTCAAAAAGGACAAAACAAAACAAAACAAAACAAAAAGCTATAAAGTCCCCCTCCTTTTTCCTGTCTCCCATTATAATTGTGACCATCACTGTCTCTTTCCAGATGACTTGTATTTGGGGCTCCAAATCCCAATTTTGGTTAGTGGAAGTGAGGCTGCAGTCATTACTCTCCACTGTGAGCCAGAGTACACATAGTTGATTATGGGTTGGATCATTCAGACAAATGAAGTGGAAGAGAATTAGGAAGGAAGCAAGAATGTATACGCAGATAAACTCTTACTGATGGAACAGATGTAATTCCACATTTGAACCTAATCTATTAATAGAAATGACCACTCATAACTACAAGAGATGACTATTACTCTTTTGTTATTTGTTTATGCTTTCTTAGAAATGTGATTATTGATTGTATTTAAAATATTTGTGTATCTCTAGCAGCACAGCGGTTACAAGTGTAGACCAAGGAGTGAAAAAACTTGGACTCAGTTCCCATCTTTACCACTTATGAGGCATATGAACTTGGGTAGTTATTAACCCTCTAAATTTCACTTTCCTCATCTGCAAAGAAAACTCTACCTCGTTACATTAGTATGGAGATTAAAGGAGATGATATGCAAAGAATTACCACTGAGCCCAGAGCATAGTAAGCAGTCAATATGCATTACTTTATTATTATTATTATTCTACCTTAATGAGTGAGTTAATATCACTTTAAAACAGGTCATTATATAAGCCAAAGTTTGAGAACTTGTAGTTTTCTAAAAAGTCAATTTTGTAGTCAAATATTTTTATTTCAGGATATTTTCCAACCCACTATAAAATTTCCTTTTTCTTTGTTTTGTTTTTTTGGTCAGGGACAGCTTCACTTTAGAGACTTCCCAAATAAATACTTTCCTAATTACTCATTTCTATGAATATCTGTGGCTTTATAATATATTTTTCTCATTGCTATTAAACTTGTGTGATTAAACATCGCCCAGCCACAAAACACTTAAATTACATTCCCTGTATCTTATCTATAGCCTGGATCTACATTAGGAATTCTGGAACTAGATCAGGCCCTCAGCTTAAAAAGAAACAGAACCAGTGTCAAAATAATTACTCTAAGGGAGCGAACTACAGTGAAAAAAAACCCTAGCTTTTTGAGTGAGTCTACGGACAGTGTACAGAATTTTACTTATGATGTGACATAATTATAAGCTAAAGTTCAGTTTCTCTTTTGCTTTTTGATTGTTTGTTATACCGTGAGAAGTTTATAGTCTAGCTTAGGTAGGGCGGGCAGACTAAGAAAAGTTAAGATGGTTGCTCACTTTATTTTTCCAGCATATGAATGAAAATGAAAATACTGACTTACTGACTTCAGAGGATCTGCACCAAATTGCTTCCCCTCACCAGGTGACATATTGACTCTTACCCACTCATGCCTTTCTTTTCATCTGGTCCCTTGTAATGTAGTACAGTGAGGTATTTGTCCACACTCATTTATATAGTATGCTGCCATGGGACATAATTTTGCATTAACCCATCAAACATTTTCGGGGGGGTGGTGTGGGTCAGGGACTACTCAGTCAGATCAATGATCCTGTAGGGCCGACATCAACCTCTAGCTTACTGTGCGCGTTAGGAAACACCAACGATTGCATAACCACTTTTTAAAACTTGTTTTTCCTTTATTTAGCCATCCGTGATCCCAACCACCTGTCCCTCCCAACGCCACTGCCCACATTTACACACCTACCTAAATGTGAAGCTCTCATCCCCTCCTCTACTTTCATCCTCCACCTGCTCAGTAAGGATTTATACACAACAGGGAGACACTGAAGCTTGGCCCAGGTAATTCTAAATAACTGCAGAGAGAAGTGATAGCTTAGGCAAAAGGTCACAAGCAGGAGAAAAGCATTACTAGTGACAGTAAACAGGTGTAAAGCAAGCACTAAAGAAATGGGTTATGTTTTGCTGAAACATAAGTCCTAGAGTAAACCAAGAATGAAAAAACACAAGTAATTTACTCATCAATGATCCTCAAGAAGCTTAAATTTCTAGCCCTCCCAGGTAGGAACTTGCCTGCTATCCATGTTGCGACCACTAGATGGCAAAGCTGGCATGGTGATGGCCAATCTTTGCTCAGCTCTTAAATAGAATTCGTTTTAAGAGCATGTGATATTCAGCAGGAGGAAAAAGTCTAATTGGCTAATAATATGCTAAGTGGTTGTCATGTATGGAATTTTTTACATTTAGAAATCCACCAACAGACCACAGAGCCCATCCTGATGAACTGAGGGCTGATGATGCTGTCTACAGCCAATTTTCTGGCAGGTGGTTTTCCAAAAACTGTTATAGTGCCAGCACACTTCCACCAATACCTACAGCACTGCTAAATAGTCCCCTGAAAGTGCTGCAATGCATTTCAGCACTAAAGAAAAATTGGGGCCTGCCAAATATTTTACATGTTCATCAAATACTTTGTAATCCATTACTAAAGGATAAGCTCTCTGCTGATTCTATGCTGAGAATAAATGGCAAGAAAGTTCACTGACAGTATGCCAATTTCTATTCAAAATACCATACCATAGCACTATTTTCAAGTTTAGTTTCAGGAATGGAGACAAAGTAATGTCTGCTTAAAAAGTTTGGCAGTACTTGAGGGAAAGGAAGATGGTAAAGTTACACAGTTGATTATTTTACAGTAACCCACAACTTCTGTTTCTCATCACAATAAAAAATAAAACCTCCCTTTGTTTTTTAGCTATTTTTCCAGGACACGTACATCTCAATTTATGCAATGAATGTGCTGTGTGTAAATCAAATTTGGGGTAAATGTCACTAAGGGAGCCCCAAGAGAACTATGCTGGCCCTTTCATATGCTGACTTAAAGTGCACAGCACATGGCTCCTGACTTTGTATTTTTCAAGTTGGCCTTTGAAAGCAAAGAACACCTATATATGTATTAGGTTTGTTACTTTTCAGGCTTTAAGGCATCTTATGGTAACAATGTTTTTAGCTTATCACATGTCAGTTTTACCTACATGAAGCTTTTTAAAATTTTTATTTTAAATTATAAAATAATAACTTGTGTACCACAACTTATACTTTTCCATTTCCTAACCTCTCTAGACAGATTTCTCATCTGCAAAGTTAACTCAGTGTTAAGGTGATGGAGCTTCATCTTCCAAAATTCTGATCCTGTTAAAATGCAACATGCTTGTTGAATATTTGAGCATTGGACAGAAAAAGATAATTTATTCAATAGGGAAAATTAACTCACACTAGCAATTACTTATTTTAACATACAATGAGCATATACTATGTGCCAAGCATATGCTAAACAATCTCACATTTAAAAACAAGAAAAAATTCCTAAAAGCATATAGGTTTCCCAGCTGTCTGGAAGAAAAGTGGGGAGGGTATCATCTATGTCCACCCCTTCTCACACTAAAGAAACTCCTCTAATATTTCCTAATAAAAATAAAACTCCATGCAATGCTTGGCCACTACTTTCAAGCCTAGATGTCTTATTTGGCTGAGATTTTAACATTCTGTCTTCTAAATTACAAACCAGATTCTAAGCATAATTCTCCAGGCAGCAAAATATGACTTTTATAATCCTCTGCAGAGACAAATGTACTTGGAATAAAATGAGAACTAATTTCAGAAGTCAGAAGGGTTACTAAAGGGGTGGGGGTGGGATAACACTACATATGATATGCAGCTTATTTTCACATCAGTAACAGTGGAAGAAGTTCAGAGCAATAAGGCAGTTTTTCCAAAACGTTTCAAAAACTTTTTATTATAAAAAATTTCAAGACTACACAAAAGTAGAGAGAAACGTATTAAAAAGTCTAGAAAAAAGTATAACCCCCATGTTGCCCATCACCCAGCTTCAACAATTATCAATATTTTGCCAGTCTTGTTTCATCTATCACCCCCTCCCTTTCTTTGCTAGAATATTTTAAGGTCCAAGAATATTTTAAAGTAATCCAAGAGCTTCGATTTCATTTCACCTCCTCATTTTCTAAATGTTTTTCACTGCTTCTTTTGGGGACCCATGCAACCAAGTAGATAAACAGGGACCGGGGAGAGGAGCTAGCTTTCATAGTAACCCTGCCAAGAGGCTTTCAAAGAGAGCAGGATTTACAGGAATGGGTTTTACACCTTTTTCAATGGCATCTGTTAATAATCATAAAAATAAAGAGGGTCCCCTCTGGTACTGCTTAAGTAGAAAGAATTCCATTTATATTCCAATACAAACATTGTTACTGCTAATCTTAAACTGTGCAGAGGCCAGCACACAGAATTGCCTATTGGAAGGGTAGTTTCCTTGCGGACTGAAAGTGCTAAGTGTGATCCTTTCTTTAGAGCCCTTCACAGAAGCTCTCCTTGGGTGGGTCTTGCCTTTCTCAGGGAAACTTTTAGGTTCTAGGATCTCGCCCTATCTGGGAGGTTCCATCCTTACCCGTGAAGCTTTTTCGGTCTCCCGGGGCGCTGCCCAGCTGGGATCAAAGAGCTCCCGAGGCGGACGCCGATGCTCCCGAGGGACGGCGGGCGGGGGCGCTGCTGCCCGGAGCCTCGCCGACACCCTGAGCCCGAAGCCGCCCCGCCACCGCGCGGCCACCACCGCCAGGAGCTCGCAGCAGAGACTGCGGAGGGGGCGCG